TGAATAAATGATTAATAAATGATATTTTTCGGTCAATACGAATTAGTGAGGCAGTAAGCAGGTCCCCATTACCGCACGACGGTATTTGGGGGGGAATTCATGTTAACTTCAACCCTTTATAACAAAACGCAAAATTAAGGCACATTCGCTTAGGCATGCGACAAAATCATATGGCCACCACACCTTTTTTATTCTGACTTTGAGGAGAAACTATAACGTCTCAAACAGAAGTACAGCTGGTTAAAATATAATTGTAATCCTCTAAACGTCGGAATGCGACAGCTGTGTGTCGTACTCACTCCTTAGGTGATGTAGTGAAAAGGCTATACCTTTATATTAAAACCACACCACAACTGGCCTTCTCTTACAGAGCTTTGACTTGTGTAGGTATAAATATAATCCGTTCCTAAATACGTTTTATGTATTAATTAATTTAAACAACAGTATTCAATAAGGCCTTCGATTCCGTTGTCGTCAATGTGTATTTTGTATCTAAAATTCCTAAAGTTCACTAAAAAGCATCGGGAAGATTAACTTCTTTTAAGACCAACTGTACATAAATCGGGCAGGAGAACTAAGCTCCTGGTTTTCTACCTTTCTTCTCAATTAATTGTAGTGGTAGCATTTTTGCGAGTTTGCTATCGCTTAATTTCAAATTAAAATGGATTTCTGAGCTTAGATTCGTTTGTACTCCATCCCCTTGTGTGTTTTCGTCAGTAGTGGAAGAACAAACATCCACGTTTTATACAGGGTACAGGAAGTTTATAGAAGAGGAATTTAAATGTTTTAACTCTGTTCTGAATGCCCTCATGTTCAAGTGCCAATAGTGATTAGATTATTTAAACAGATACAGTACGTGTTGTAGACAGGACAACGATAACAAGGATAGTAGCAGCAGCAGCAGTAGTAGTTCATTAGTTGGGTATAATGTCAAGCTTTTAATGTCTCGAGCAGATTTGGTTCTTGTCAACATTCTATACCCTTAGAAAATATTTTTAACACAACTGAAAATGTTATATCTGAGGAAATACGAGGTGCAAAGACCCTTCGTTACTGTAGTTTAATCCGTGCAATTAACGGGGTATAATTCATGAAAAAGATTGCTTCGATTGCTGACGTTTTCGTTTGGTCTGGACAAGATTGGTTATTCCGCCGACTTTTACTTCTACCCTAACGAAAGTTACAGATGAATGAACGTGTTGTGTTGTTTTCACTGTTTTAGTCAGGATCGAATGAATATCATTCATATTAGTCAATATTATTTTAAGGAAATTGTATTACCCTAAAAACATATAATATATGATATATTGCATAAACTAGCAGAGTTTGAAACAACACCGTTACGCGAAGAATCATTCCTTTAATATCATTGACATCAGCCGCGGGACCTCAAGGGTTTCTGTAGAAATAAATCAAGGTCACTTTTGATAGTGGTACCTACGGACATTTCAGCAGCTTAGTCCTGGCGCTTTCACTGTGAGGCACCTTACCATAACTTATCAAGAAAATGTTAAAATCAGCTATTTCCCCGTGGTGCTATAAAGAATAATTAGAAGGTCGCTGTGTCTGAATGTGTAGTATTTCACTATGACGTAAGAGTACTTAGTTTTAACATTTCAAAACACATTCGGTTATTTCTTTAGCAGGGAAGAGGAATTATCGTGCGGATAGACAAATTCTGTTTCAGGTACGATTCGTTTTATTTTTTAAGACGTTGCTGATAAATGTTTGGGGTTCTCGTGGTACCGGTTTGGCTACTGTTATACAAGACGTTGAGTGCTTCATTAAAATTTGTCATAACACTACAAGATAAATCCCCTAACTGCTCTAAAAGAAAGCATATCACTTCAGTACTTTTTTAAGTAAAAAACATTAATAACATTTTAAGCATTACCTGTATCTTCTAAATGGATGTTCTTCCATATCTGGTTGTCTCTGTTATACAAAATTAAGTACAGTATTTGGATGCATACACAGATGTCTTAAAATTATAAATAGGAGTGCATTTAATTTCTAGCCTGGAAAAATAAAGTTGGGCCTATGCGAGAATTTATTCTTTACACTGACTTGTGTGTATTTCTGGTCACTTTAACACATCAATGGCTAATCTTTGCCCATCTTCGAGATGTTTACTGATGCTATTAGAAAAACAAACAGAGAGCAATTAACATTCCTTTGTCTTGCAACGACAGCACTAGCTGGGGTTTCACACTTGCGCTCCGTGTGTTTACAGTTTCTTAACATGTTTATTTACATGGTTGTGATTCGCGTCCTCTCAATCCCGTGCAGCTGACCGGCCAGGTGAGCCGGTCTGCAGGGCGCAGGACGTTCATGTTTAAAAGGTAACAGATGCTTTCTTTGCAATTTCTGCCTTCCATTGAAAGAATAGCTTTCAGTGTGAGTCATATCTTGATTTAATATTCATATATATCAATATATAAAACGATAATGGAAGTGTTATTCTTCCTTTTGAGGTCATTTTCAAAGGACATTTAAAGAACATCACATTTACTGAAATATACATATATCTAAAACGTAATTGCATTTTAAAAACTAAATAGATTTGCTTTAGGAATGCATTAGCTGTGAAGTCTGTTATCATGGGTAACTGCATACTGTGACGGAAAATACGACTGATTTTTGTATCTATTTCCTTGGTCCCCGCTTAAATTGGAGCAAAAATGTTTAAGTATGAACAATCGGGCGTAACGTAAAATTACGTGAATCTGAGAAAATCTAGATAATTAACTAAAAAGTTATTTAACTAAACATATTGTGCGGAGTATTAAATTATTTGCATTCGGCTTAATACATTTAAAACAAAGTAGTAGAATGTATTACAACAGTTAGTGTGCGTTTATGTGGATATATATGGAGATGTGTACCTGTGGTACGAGATATTTTAAAAACCATTTCACACTCGGCTGGCCCAAGTTATCCATTGCGCTGAAAGCTTTGTTTTGTTATCATTTTTCTGTTAAGTATTCATTCTTGTCTAAGATAATGTTTCCTCGTGTAATGTCATTGTTCGTGTGTTTTAATTTCCGTTTCCAGTCTTCACACGCCTGCTGCAGTATAAAGTAAGCGTGGCTAATCTGAATAATGTATGTTGTTAGCATGCAAAGATAAGTGACTTAACTAGCTTATATTAACATGCCGGTTTTGTAGTCAGCTTTTGGGGGGTGGGGATCATCGTTCATTTTTAAGTTGTTTTTATTTCCTGAATTGTGTAGTTCCATCTTTTTGTCTTCTAAACTGAAGGACACGTTTGAGCGCATGAGCACACATAGGTAAAAACACAAAACAAACTTCTCTGAAACCTCCACTTTACAAGGAACGAAGAAGCCTGGCAAAAAGTAAAGACAAGCACGTTCCCAATTACCATGTTCTGTCAGAGCGCTGTGTATTTGGACAGGAATGTAGCCTTCCAAGTTTCACCGAAATCTTTAGTTTAGCTTCTCCACGAGATAAACAAGCAGGAAAGGTTTATCCGATAAAAATAAGAACAAGATTTTATTTTCAAATATTTTTCATGCACTGGATGATTCCCATTTCCACCGATTCCTCGATTTTTTTAGTAAAATATAATATTTTTTTTCCTTTTAAATTCTCTTTGACCTTCCACCCTCCCTTTTGTTTAAGGCCAATATTGTCAGAGAATGTAGAACACGTAGCAGTGGTCACGAACCTTTTATTTAAACGTTTGTGAATCACATTATGTTTAACGGAGCAAGCAAAAAATATGTCATTTAAATACAAAACCGTTTTTAAAAAGGCTTGCATTTTTTAGATTTTATTCGAAGAATAAAAATGTTCCGACATTAATGAGGCAATTGGATGTCTACCTACGTCATTTCTCTCTCGTGTTAACGTTTATGAGATCTTGCGTTAAACAACAGAAATTTGACATCTACGTTAGCATTCATCGGTGTTCCGGTTCTAAATTACAATCCAGAAATATGTTCCAACACTTAATGGTACCTCGTTTTTTGCTCCTCTCGAAATTCCCGAAGAACACAATCTACACCTAAAAACCGCGGTCTGAAGAGGAATAAACAACGACAGAGAGAATATCCAGATTCTTTCTATCCAGTTTTATTTCCCGGCATTTCAACTTACTGGTCTCGGACTACCTGAAGCAATCAGATCTTCCCCGAGCTGTTCGCGGGACTCAGTTATTTCCTTGTGGCAGCACCGCGCGCTTTCCTTGGCTGTGCTCAGACATGATGGATGTGGAGTGCGGAGGAGGCGATGACACACGGAACAATGCTGTTACACCTGCACGGTCTCTGGGTACGGAAATGTCTTCCAGCAAAGGCCGGCAGGGCCAGCATGGGTGGCCAGAGAAATACATACCATGTCAGATCTGCGGCAAATAATTTGTCTCTAAAAAAAAAAGAGATTCGAGTCGCGGGAAATGTCTCGCTCTAACCGCGCTTATAAACTAGCCTACGATCCCGACACGTTCAGAAAGAAGTAAAATACTGGTTTTAACATGAAACAAACACTCTGTCTCAAAGAGGGGTGCAAACAACAGGAATAAGAAATGTAATGATGATTACAGTCGTGGCAGTGAAAAGCGTGTTTTGTTTTACAGGAAGTCACGTATTTTGCTGAGCTTGGAAAAAAGAAGGGTCACATTTTCATCTAAATAAGCTGTCTCCTCCCGTACTGCATGCAAATCAATAACAATAAAGGTCTTTTTCATTTACAACCATTATTCAAAATTATTTGAATTGCAACCTTATTCAAAATCCATACCTAACTGTGAAAAAACAATGCGAAAGTATTCCCAACCTCGCGAAAAGAGGGGAGCATGTAGACCAATAGACATTTCTGATAATGTATTTTATTCTGTTATCTTTGGATGTATTACTCTGTAATTATGGTTGCTGGTTCACTTTAAGCGGGACCTGTTCCATTGTCCTAAACTGCTATTTTAAGAAGCCCTCGGAATAGGCGTCTAAAGACGATTAACTGAACGGTTTGTGTCAAGGACTCCCAGTTTGTGTTTTACGGCGCGATTATGAAAATGGATTTCTAATTTCAAACAGACGCGATGAGGAAACTCTGTTGCTCTTGTAGGGGGGGGGACCTAGAGAGAGACGGAGGCGGAACACATTCAGCACACAAATCAGAGAGAAGTACATCATCGCAGGATATATGAGAAACCCCAGACGAGGTGCCATTCTGCTTCTGGAAGGAAGAAAAGGCTGGACTTAAAGAGGAACCTAATCACAACCTGGGCTGTGCCTGTAATAGGAGCAATCTCATAAGAAGCTGAGCTTCAGGGAAAGGAGTTATTGCTTCACTAGAACAGTAATTGTGGTACTAAATCAATTCCTCGGGCCCTGCACTTAACGCAAGATTCTGGTACGGCGTTGAAAAAGAACTTGTGGCTGGAGAATACTATTTGTATTGTTATTCTTGTTGTTGTTATTATTATTATTCCAATTACTCTTGGTTTGTTTTTGTTTTTCTGTGCGTAATGATGGCCACTTATCAAAACCAAGAAGATGACGCAATGGCTTTGATGGTTCATGACACCAACACGGCCAAGGAGAAGGAACGACCCAAAGACGAACCGATCCAGGATAAGAGTTCGGAGAAGGCAGACCCGTCTCAGAAACCCCCTTATTCGTACGTGGCTCTTATTGCCATGGCTATCCGAGAAAGCTCAGAGAAGAGGCTCACTTTATCCGGCATCTACCAGTACATCATCAGCAAGTTCCCTTTCTACGAAAAGAACAAGAAGGGCTGGCAGAACAGTATTCGCCACAACCTGAGCCTCAACGAGTGCTTCATAAAAGTGCCCAGGGAGGGAGGGGGCGAGAGGAAAGGGAATTACTGGACTCTGGACCCCGCTTGTGAAGACATGTTCGAAAAGGGTAACTACAGGAGGAGAAGGAGGATGAAGAGGCCTTTCAGACCCCCTCCGACACATTTTCAACCTGGAAAATCACTGTTCGGAGATGGATATGGTTATCTCTCCCCACCGAAGTACTTGCAGTCCAGTTTTATGAACAACTCATGGTCGCTTGGGCAGCCTCCCACTCCCATGCCTTACAGTTCGTGCCAGATGGCCAGTGGCAACGTGAGCCCTGTCAATGTGAAAGGACTATCGGCGCCGTCCTCTTATAATCCTTACTCCCGGGTCCAAAGCATGGCTTTACCCAGCATGGTAAATTCGTACAACGGGATGAGCCATCATCACCATCCGCACGCTCACCACCCGCAACAGCTGAGTCCGCCGACTCCGGCGCCTCCCCCGGCTTCTTCGGCAAACGGAGCCGGCCTTCAGTTCGCCTGCTCCCGTCAGCCTGCAGAGCTTTCTATGATGCACTGTTCGTATTGGGATCACGAGAGCAAACACTCCGCATTGCATACAAGAATAGACATTTGAGCCGACGGTCCGCATGGAAACAGGACTTTTTACCCACTATTAAATGCAAGCGAAAGTATTTTGAAATGATCATGGATTCTGTCACAATCTGTTCCGTGCCAAAGTTTCTTGAGGGAACCCTGTGTCATCTATGATTGAACGTATTGTGTAAGTGATGAGACATTATGTCCTTAAAGCTGACAGAGAGAAAGCTTCTGGGGGTCATTTTTTTCCCCAGTGGTAGACTTGGGGGAAAAGAAGATTAATGTGTTTTTTGTATGGTACATCTGTACAATGCGACCACTTCCCTTAAAAGGGAATTGAGATTACAAATACTATTTAAATATAATGTGTGTAAGAACGTCGGATTCAGATTCTGTACGTTTACTGTGCTGTAAGAAGTTGAACTATGTGCTCTTGTAAAACAACAAACATTAAGAATTGAAATGACACAGTTGTACGCCCGTGTGGCGTTTCCACGTCATAAATGTGTTACATGCAGAAGTGTTCGCCAGGTTAGCAAGTTATGTTTATTCCGAATAACAGAACGTATGGTGAACTACAAGACATACAGAAAGTTATGGGTTAATGTGTACATTGTTAGACCAAAGAGATATTATCTGATTTAGAAAGCGTTTAACAATTTGCAATCCTAACTATTATGCATCATTCAGGGCCAGTTTTGAACTCTTTCTTATTTTGTAAACTTAAAACTTTGTCTCATTCATGTTGGGACCATGTTAAACTAGCACTTTTTTAGTTTTGTGAATTACTTAATAAACCTGTATTTTATTCAAAATTTTCCTCTTCGTTCGTTTCTCAGTTTCTTCATTTGAGGTGTTAATATTATGTAAAAATAAGGCATAGGCCTTTAATTAACAAGTGAATGCGAGGGTAACGTGAAATAAGCGTTAGAACCCTATTGATTGACCCAATAATTTTTCATAGTTGTTAAATGTTTTTGTTTAAACTTCCGTGCAATGGACTTAAAAACTTAACCGAATTGCCCCGCATCTATTTCCTTGTTTTACTTTTTGTTGTGAAAACGAAACATGGGGCACCCAGAAATATATTTTTAGACAGCAAAACACCACATAGGTTTAGACCATTGAAATCTGAAAAAACAAATTCTCTTGAACAAAAATAGGATTTTTACTTTTCAATAGTGAACACCCTTTTTCTGTTAATTTGTGAAAGGGAATTATCATTGAGCATCTTAATTTTTATATATATATTTATCTTAAAATTGTACGGCTAAAGATTTTGATGCAGGACAGTAGCGGTCTCATAGGTCCTTAATTCGCTACCATATTAATATTTTGTAATAATATATTGATAGCTTCCAATGCAACTACTCGTGTTTACAGAGGATGGTTATTCAAATATCTATTTTTTATTTCTAAGCCTTCTATATTGTATATATGTTAAAGAAAGATAATCCCTCGCGTTAGCATTAATATAATGACTGTTAGGAGACTAGTATACTTAGCTGTTTTTTGTATTATTTCTTATTCCGGGCACGTTTTTTTTTTCTGTTCGACACAGCAATACTTGTTTAACACTTCAAATATCTTAGTGCCTACTTTCACCGAATTTTCCCTAGACTTCTCATTACATTCAGAATGCTGTCATAGCTATTCCAAAGGCCAAAAGTAAATAGAACATTGTTATGATAATGGATTTATTTATATATATATATTTATGGGAATAGGTATGCAAATAAAACTTGGCAAAGATGATTCATGACGCTCTACAGTTCTGAAAACAGAATTTTAACCAGAAGAAATCAAGTCTTTGCTATAAATGAAGGTTTGAATTTCCTAAGGAGATGAAGGATCATTTTAAAGGATAATACAAATCCCATATAATAAGAAACAAAATGTTGGATTGTTTATTAGTTTCAGTCCGATACTCATTGGGTAATATTTAGTATGTTTCGAGGATACCGTCTTTCAGTGAAGTAGAAAACACGGACCTGCGTACAAAAAGATCCCAATTTGTTATATTATAGATCTAATTATTAGTTTACTAATGACATATCACTGCTTATTTACCACTGCAAATATAATCTAATTCCTGTGAAACCTGAATTTGTCATAGACAACTCAATAAATTCAAAATACTAACCTTATATAATTATCTTTTCTCTCCAAAGACTGGATAGTATGTATTTCAGGATCTTTCTCAACTTTTGTTCTGTACTTTAAATAATTTATTACAAATGAAAAGCAATGGTCGTACTAAGCTCATATTGCTTTTTTTATCAGTTATGCAAGAATCCGTTTTCACATTAAATGAAAAAGTGTTCGTTCAGATACCTGTTGCTTTAACGTAGACACAAGGTCAATAGAACATCAAAGGTTTTTGGTGATCTGGGTACATAAAACACTTTCCTGATATTTTGGGGTAGCTAAGCCAGAACTGATACTGCCTATAAAGACATCAGTACATTTTGAACAATATTTCAGCATTTATAAATCTTTAGAGTTTCTTTTTTTCAGTAAGGTGTATCATGTTGTTGTTTTAGCAAATGCCTCATTACAAATGATTAAATCAGGGTTTCGGTAATCGCATTAATAAGGAAAGGCTGATAATAAGAAATAATTTGTTTTCCAACATTAATTATTTTGCAGTTGTCTAAATTATCAACAAATGTGTTTGTTGAATTCCATGCATTACGTCTGCCGTGCTCTGGTAGCTGCATCTGAGAGTCTCGAGGGGCTTAAACACTTAGAAAGAGAAACAGGATGATGAGTGATACGTTTACAATAGACCTTCATTTCTTAACTCTTTTGTTTCGATTATGTAATTAAAGGGAAGCTCATCCGAAAACGGCGCACGAGTACAGTACACTGTCACTTATAGCGACAAGTGTTTGTAATTTTAGGCCCCAAGCAGTCATACGCGTTGCCTACTGTATATCCGTACACTTGTCATATTGTAACAGTACTCCAAAACCAGAATTAATTGATTACAACTTTTTTATAAAACCAATCGAGAGATAGGCGCAACACGATTTAGAGGAAAAATCACGTGGACATGAGTGTAATTGTTTCTTATCTGTACAGTGCAAATACAGGTCTAGTTATTTATTTACTACAGCTATAGGCCTCTTGCTCTTCTTTCTCCACCCCCTTCAGGCTACTAGCAATAATAATAATAATAATAATAATAATAATAATAATAATAATAATAATAATAATAATAATAATAATAATAATAGTGGTGGTGATGGTTGTATCAGTAAAAGCCAATTTAAAGAAAATAGTGAAGAGAGCTTTAGTGGTATTTGAGGAAACTAATCTGTAGTTCTGGCTTCCAAAAACAAAACAAAAAATCATCACAATATTCTTTTGAATGCATCTGGTGAAGGTTTTGGAGTGCGTGTTGAATCACATTATGAATGCTATGTCTCTGAGGAATCATGCAGGTTTGTAATCATTAGAACTGAAGATTATAGTGACAGCATATTGTTATATCGTTTTCCTTTGTTCAGATAGAACGAAGACAATAACCTGAATTTAAATAGATTTCTAGCTTTCTGAACTCAGATGATTCCCAGCGCTCTTCAGCCGCTCCGGTTACAATCGAAGGTTACGATACGGCCATCTGATTTCACTTTTTTAAAAAGCAGGTACAGTGTATTCAACTCGGCGCACTTCTGCAGGAGGAGTTCAACATTTGCTCTTTCTTTATTTAGTCCTTTCATTGTTGTTACGTTTTCGATTTAGTTGGCCAATGCAATAGAACTGTGGTGTCATTCCATTGTTATGGATAGAAGTGTTATTCTGTTATGGTTTTTATTTGTTCTTTGATGTCTTCGTGTTATATTCGTTCTAGACATTTTAATATAGAGTTTACATAAGGATTGTTTTAAGTTTTTTTCAGCTAAGAATTAAAACGAACCAACACATGGCCGTTCAGCTAGAGATGTTTAGTGAATTATTGTCGACATTTAAAATGTATGTTTGCAAATGGCGAAGAAAAAGTTGTAAACTGCGAATATTACTACGCTTTTTACTTTGTTAGGAAAACTGTTTCTTCTGGGCCATTTCAAGCATCTTAGTAAAGAAAATGTACTCCAGTTTTGAGTAAAATGCTGCGTTTAACTAAAATGATAAATACTGTATCCTATCCCTAGCTTTCGATTATATGATATTAAAAGATCTTGATCTTTACGGATGCTCAAATGATAAAGAACTCTTGCAGAATAAAACGGCCATTACCCTACGTTATACGATGATGTTAATAAGAAAGGGATCGACTCCTTCCCTTAACCATATTTACTGAAAAAAATGTGAAATTCATAAGCTTGAACTTTACCAGTACACAGCCGTGTACCACAGATGGTATTGTATTCATGTTTCTTGGAAACGCAAAACTGTGTTACAACTCAGTTGTAGATTAATAGCCTACTGTTCGTCAGTATAAAGCCCATCTGCCAATTAGCAGACCCCTAGGTTTCCACGAGTTCCTGTTTGTCATATTGTTTTAAACAGATAAGTATTTGCTGTTCTACAACAAAGGTCTTCATACTGTTTTGTAGGAAAGTGTTTTTTTTTCTTTCTCTGCAATTTTAGTCTTTTCTTTAGATAACTGCGCAGTCACACAAATACGGTGTTGGGTTTGTAGCTTTCTATTATTTCAAAACAATCAGACAAACAAGGTTCAAACTTCTATGCATAATAATATAATATTATATATATATATACAGGATTATAATTTAATCATCGTTATAAACTATTTGAATTATTTCGTTCCCCGGCTATTGCCTGTAATGACCCCGTTGTATGTGATTTGACAAATGACCGGCGTGCAAAACCAAAAACCGCTCTCTGGCTTTTCCATATGCTGAACAGTTCACTCTCGTTTCGAGCAAACCACTTCCTTTCAGAAAAAAAAAGAAAAAATATTGAAGAACAGGAGGAAACTGTTTTAGAAGAACACATAATTTCCAGTTCACGTTTTACATTCCTTCAGCGTCTCCCTCTTCAAATAACACTCGGTTTATTAACTATGACCTTTCACCGTTATTTCGGGGTATCCTTCTAACATCTTCATACAGAGCAGATTAGACGGCAAATAGAATC